TCTCAAAAAAAGTTTTAAAAGAAATCAACATTATGATGCCCAGCTCCACAGTTAAATATATTAGGACAGTAGCTCCCAAATAAGGAGCTGAGAGATTGTCTGCCAAATCTAATAACTCCTCTTTGTTTTCACCGATAAGCATACAGCAAGATGTTAAAAACTCATGCTTCCCAACAACCTTCTCCCTGCTCCTCCCTATCAGGGATACAGACAGATGTCTCCTGTGCCTCAAGTATGCCCTTGAATTGCACATGGCAGCAATCATTGCCAGGAGAACAGGCATACCACCAGTGTGCTTAGCATTCAGTGACTGCACATTAGGAAGAGAAAAAGTCATAAAACAATGAATAAGTATCCTGAATCTGTAATAACAAAGCATACAAGTAATTATTCAAGAACATACCTTTCAAGTAAGTACTTTGCCTCAAGCAGATACTAGTTCCCTGACTTTTCCTCTCCCAGCACCAACAGAATGGTCAAGTCCTCAGAAAATTCTTCTGGAGTTCACCTACATTGTTTAAAAGTGAACCCTATTGCTTGGGGAAGATAGAAGCAAGACTATCAACTGTATTTAACAGAAGCAAATCTACATCAACAGCATGGAACCCCCAGCCTTCTCCTGCATTCATGCCAATCTTTGTTTTCCTCATGCGCATATGCACACAACCTTGCAGGCTGTTAGCTGCTCCATAGCATACCCAGCTGCAGCCCACTCAGAGACCAGGCTCTCAGTCAGGTTTCTCAGTACAAGCTGCAGCCACTGTCACTCACCTTCCAGACCTGCTCCATGCTGCTGCCCAAAACCTGGCTAAATGTTGCCACACCTCCAATGTGGGCACTGGATGCAAACTACTGCCTTACTTCCTTGATTCTCCCTTCCTGCCCAGCTCACCTTTTTAGGTTTATAAGGCTGGAAAATAGAGTCCACAGCCCATAGTCCAAGTCTAGATGAGCTCTGTTTTGCAAAGTGTGAGGGAATCTGGATATGTTGTGGTGCTGTGCCAGAGAGAGAAGCTTATTACGCAGGTAGCTTTGTTATGGGCTATGATGTGTAACAGAAGAAAGGTAGTTCATATTGCTTAGGACTGTTTAGGACTACCCTAAAACCAATTCTAAACATCAGCATTAATGTTGCCTAGAGCATCCACAGGAGACAGCCTGTTGCAGGCAATTGTATCTGCCAATTGCCCAACTCACTATCGAGACTGTCAGGTTCCTCAGAGGCATAACACCAAGCACTGCTCTGAAATGACAGACAGTCTCTTCAGACAGGCCAAATTTACAGAAATGGTTTCCTCCCTGCACACACCATCATTAGTCCTAAAGCTATTTTCCATTTATTCTCCCTCTGCTAACACTCTTAACACCTAGCATGCCTTTGTCCTATTTCAAGAAACAAGAGCTAACAGTAAATATATTAAGAGAGACTTCAGAGTTTGCACTTAAAAGTATCTAACCAAAGCCCTGAGTTACAACCATCACATCTCTATTCAAATAAATACAACAGAAGGACTAACAACAGTCATTACTACACATGCACAATATAAATATTGGTTAAACCCGATAAATCTCTTTTGAGGTAGATATATACAGTACAAAATATATTAAGGGTCAATTGCAAACATCTACTCACTTCACCTTCTTGCCCTGTTCTGCAGGAAACCTTGCAAACATATTTCCGCCTCATCAGCATTCAGGTTTTTCCAAGTTCTGAGCTCTAAGACAATTTGCAGCTAAAAGACCACTGAAACCAAACATACATTTAACACTATCATGGAGTTTCAGTTGAGGCCATGAGAAAAGTAGGTTATACAAAATTCAGCTAAGGAAAATCCAGGTATTTTAAATAACTTTGCAAACAAAATAGTACTGTTCAAAACAGGTTCCAACAGTTTCATCAACAAGAAAAAAAACACAAAACCAATAAAAACCTTCTGCTGGGGTTTTCAAAGTAAGTTTTAAACTAGAAATTTGAGCTTCAGTTCCCAAAAACCGATTTTCACAACTTACTCCCCCCCCATCACTGAAACACAAAGGAAAGGAGAAAGACAGCTTGAAACACAGATGCACACCTTCAACTCTTAGAAAAAGGATTCAGATAAAAAAATTCAAGGAATTCTAATGAAAAACATGCAAACAGACAAATCAGACTACAGTCTGCTCAGAACTTGGCGAAGGTTCGCGTAGAAGGTTTGCAAGCCTTTAAATAAACCTGTCCCGAGTTCAGAGTTTGTGACAAGCAAGCAAAGAGGTTTTGGATTTTTTCTGGGCTGTCAGGCCATGATGGCAGACACAGGATACAGCAACAAAACAAATAATAAACCTGGAAATTCACTTTTCTTTTGAATAAAATATCTGTAAACACAATCCATTCTATTATAAATAAATTAAAGAGTAATACAAATTCATAATCACTGAATAATTAGTGCACCAACTTGCTTCAGGAAGATGATCAAGCAGAGAAGTACCTGCTAATCAGTCACTTTTGTGGTGTTGTGTTTTGGTTTTTTTTAACTCAAATATAAATCAGACTGTAGGACTGCTATCAGCTAGCCAACTAAGTGCTGGTAAGTACCAACATGTGACTGCATTAGCTCAAGCACACATGGTCACATTTCATTGTGAATCAACACAAAAATAAGTATGACTACAGAAAGAAGCAGCACTGACACCTGCCTGTGCTTGTGCTTACTTTGTACTCACAAGCAGGTACAGGCTGGGGAAGTTCCTCCCCCATAGCTGTGTGTCTCTGACAAGCACAATTTTTGGGTCCGATTTCAGAATCCACTGTTACATTGCAAGTCGGAATAGTCAATATTTGGGTTTTGAGCAGTCCCTGTCAGCTCCAGTTCTTTGCATACCAAGCAAACTCCCACTTAGCCCACCTCCTTCCAGAGCAAGGCCATCTGGGTGAGAGACTTCCCCCAAAGAAAACTCGATGGATGGAAAAAAAAAAATCCAAGTGCCCAGCAAGCGAATGAGAAAGGTTGCGCTGTGATTCCTCAAATGTCTCGCAACAGGAATTCAGACTTGTGTTACAATCCTCGTAATTTGAAGACAAACGTTCTCAAATTAATGCCAAAAGAAACACACTTAAACGTGGCTGCAATAAATGCATTAAAGTATTAAAGTAAAATAAAAAAGGTCCAGAAGAAGAGTTTGGAGTCCAAAGAGGCAGAACACGCCAAGCGTTTGCCTCCTAGACCCAAAGGACGTTTCAGATATTCACCACGGTGTAACAGCTTCCCCCTGAACAACGGCAATATTGTTTCTTCAAGTAAGTCGGAGGTAGGGTCTAAACCAGCATAATGAATACAGCAGCAGCCTCCAGCTGAGCTCAGCTATGCCTGAGGTGGCCAAAGAACAATACTGCCTCAGCCGGCCTGGTCACACTGCTGCTAAGGTATCAGCAGCCACCCTTGGTTTGAGTCCTGGTGCTGAGAAACATGCAGGATGCACACACCAGGGCACAACGAGTCCGGTCACCAGGGAGACACGCACCATAACCGAGTACATCTGCTCCGGAGGCCAGCCTCTTGTTGGCAGGCAGACACCGTGCCGGGCTGCAGCAGATGTGCGGTGGCTTCGGCAGACACGTAGCCACAGACAGCTACGCTGCAGCAGACAGCGCTTTCTGTTCCACTCCCATCCACGCATCCCTGAGAGAAGTCATCATCTGCCTGCATGTGGTGTTTAACCATGCTTCCTCTAGAGAACTTTTTTTTAAATAAACTGAGGTTACAATATGTTTCACTTAAATAAAACATTTAGTCTAGTTCAAAAATGTTCCGAGCAGCACAAGTGAGACACAGCAATCAGGATGTAGATGTGGATTCATCCTCTTCTAAAAGAAGGTCGTTTAATGCAATAACTGTAGCAGCAAAGTCAACCAGCTCCACAAAGTCTGATGTAATTATGTTAACCCCCATAACACCTGGTTTCTGTGCTTTCACCCAATTTAAAATCATGGGCAGGTTCCTAAAGAAAGTGAAATAAAGAAAATAAAACATTTTAAAAAATAGACTCTTCTCTATATACACTGTACGTTAAATACAACATGCTGTTTGCAAATTACATTATCATCTCACATGTCAGGTCCTGACTGCCACTCAAAATGCAACTAGTCTGATGAGAAAAGTGCTTAACATAGCATGCAGTCATTAGCTACCAAACAGAAATATTGGTCAATCATCAACCCAAACTACCATCCATACAAAATAACATTCATGAACACTGAGTAGACTGTTTCAGCATTTACTGCTGCACTACAGTTTCTTCCATGCTTTGGTTTTGCCCAAGAACATGTTGAAACAAAAGCTTTTTTTGTTGTTGCCGCCTCAATTGCTGTTGCAATTTCACAGCAGACTTCAGTATAGCACAAGGCAAGGCTATACCTGGCCAGAGATGTTTCCCAGCCCATCTTTACCTTCAGGTGGGCAGAAAAGAAGCTGCAGGCAGGACACTGCATTTCTACCAAACTCCTTTCAGCCTCCACACCCACCCAGAGCAATGGGATCAGGGAAACCAAACCCAGAATCAAGCCCTCAGCTCTGTAAGGGCTGAGCACCCCACTATATACACCACTAACCAGAAAAAGGCAAGGTGTGTCAGGAATTGAGTTAAATGGAGTCAGAAATTCTACCATGGGGAGAAGTTTCAGACATTTCTCGGACAGAGTGCAAGCCAGGAGTCTGCACAAGCTTCTTCGCACTCTAACAAGCAAACCCCAGGGTTTTCAGCACAGTCAGAGATAAATGACTAAATATATTACAATTATTTAAAGTAGTGCCATAACATGCATACAAAATTATATAAGATGGTAGGCAAGCAAATTAGCTAACAGGATTGGGAAGAAAAACACCAGAAAACCTAAAGATATCCCACCAGAAAAAAATTCTTGTCAAGAACCAAGAGGGAACCTAAGTAAAGGCATAATTACTGTCCCTATGAAGGTACAAACCAGACTTTAGCCAGCTAAGTGCAAATGTTGCACATTGCTCTTTTAGCAAGAGCTCAAGAACACTTAAATATTCATATTCAGGGAAAAATTTCCATATGAAAAGGCAGACATCTGCAGAGAACTGCAAAGACAGATTTACACATACAAATCAGCTAGCATGTGTAAATGTATACAAGCAATCATGCTTTAGCAAACAGAGGCATCTATTTTAAATTTTCACAGTTTACTTTCAAACAAGTAAGCGGCAATGAGGGGGTCGAGGGAAAGGGCTGGAGCAAAGGCAGGCTTCCAGCCTACTAGTGGCTTCCAGCCCAGACCTGTGCCAGCAGTCACTTGAAACAAAACTGCTTCCATATTCCATGAAATTAGATGATTCTTTACTAGAATGATCTTGCCTTTAATCACGGGATAACAGTACATTTAATATACAGTACGCAGACATAAGTTACATTCGTGCTTTCAGTTCGGCATCCCCGCCAACCGTACAGTTGTGCAAAAAGTGCTAATTGAGACAGCAAACACCGCTCTCAAAGCACCTGAGCACCATCTAGTGTCTAACGCTGACCGCACAGACGCGGGCAAAGAGCAAGCCAGAGTGGAGACTTGAATATATTGTGGCAAACATCATTTGGATTTAATTACCTTTTGCTAGATTAATGTCTGTAAACAGGAAGGAGACTGAAAACTCCATGATTTCTATTTCACCTGGAATTTCTTTACTTCTAGCAACTCCTTTTGTGACTGAAAAAGCATAACACTTGCTCTTTTTTGAAAGGATTTTTTAAAAAAATAAGATAGACTGACTTTGGCTTCAAAATAACAACACTGTAGTTACTTCTAAAGTGACCAGTGATTCTCCCAAAGGGAACATGAACTGGCTGCTGAATATATAATGTATCTATTATATATATCAATATATATAATTAATTATGATACAGTATATATACTGCTTAATATTAACCTCAGTTGTTGATCAAATTAGACCAGTTGTGACCACCTATACAAGTGTAATTTAGAACTTAATATCATTATAGCAAGATAAACTGTCAGTGACATCAGAACAGGCAATATTAAACAGTGAGCCAGGAAACTAGATCTCACCAGGACCACCCTAGTTCCAGCAATTTTTAGCAAACAAGCTACAAGGTAGTAATGCCATAAAACAAAGTCTCATGGATCCTATCCTGGTCATGCTGTTAACACCATTAAAAAATCACTGGCACTCGGTGCTACTCCAAGCAAAACCCTCTTCTAATGGTCTTACTCACAAGCAAATTAATTGTACAACAGTCAGTGGTATAAAAATGTTAATCTAATTTTTGGTAAAAAACACCCAACAAGATAAAATACTCCTTCATGTCATACATCTTTGGTCATTACTGAAACTGCTGAGAGAGACTTATCCAGACAAATGCGAAATTGAGCCCACAAATATGCAATTTTCTTCTTTGGCACAAGCTTTTTCCCGCCCCCAAATGCAAGTTCATCCAATTTGGAATGAATTACTGGTTTGAAACAGGTCCACCCCACATCACATTCAAAAAGGCCTCCAACTACCAGGAAACACATTTATACTTACACATATACCCTGTTACTCATTTTCAATATTTTTTATTTAAACTTTTAATGTCTGCAAATATCTCTCACAAGCAATAGTGATGAAGCAAAACGGCATGCTTTCATCAAGTCTTACTTCAAGGCAAACATTTCATAGTTACTTGCTTACTCAGTGCCTCTTTTAACATGAAATGTGCTAAGAACTGAGAAATCAAGACAAATCCTTACCTATGAACAAGTGTGTTCTTCAGACCACGAATTAGATGTCGTGCAATAGTTTTCACTCGAGGTGTGAGAATTGCTTGAGAAACATGAAAAGTCCCATAACGACTTCGTTCCTCAAGAGTGGTCTCCAGGAACTGTAACAGTTTGTGCACGTTGGTTGTATTAGCCCATGGTGCCGGCATTTTATTCCCCGGCCACAGGAAGGGGTATTCCTGATACAAAGGGTAGTGGTAGAAGATGAGAACCTAAGAAAACAAAGAAAAAGGAGAAAAAACAAAAATTCACAACTCTGTTATCTTTAAACAGGATGTTGCATTGGTTTTTGCTTATGCAGTACTGCTGCAGCCAGCACAGCAGTTAAAAGAGGACCAAGCAAAAAGAAGCTGCTCCTGAGTCACGAGCGTCAGTAAATTTGTTGCACTGTTGCCAACAAAGGAGATGGAGATCATTTTGGTTAGCTATGAGGACAGCGTTGCTTCAGGCTTTAAGGGTCATCACTTCAAAATGAAAAAGTTGCCAGGAATATACTGAAATGTCATTCAAAGCATTCAGCTTAAGAGCATTCCAAAGCACTGTCAGAGAGCACTACCATCTGTACTTGAAGGTAAGGACTTTAGCTGTCTGGCCATCTTCTGCATAACTCCTATTAAGTGGCTAAAGCATACCGGGCTGACTGGCACAACGGCATTCCACTCGCACTTACTGCATGAGATGCCAAAGCCAATCTTGCCATCAACAAAACCTTCTCTAAGTCAGAGGTCTGTATTTTATGCCTTGTAAGGTGGTTCTTTATCAGACGGCAGCAGGTAAAGATGCAGCACTTTTTATTAACACCCAAACCTACAAACGATTATTTTGGACCCTAGCACTGACAGCATCAGTTCAGAGGAAATCCTCAAAGCTTCACCTATTTTACAGTTTAAAAATTGCATGCAGTCACTGAAACCCTCTTCTCAGTTTGTGTGTATGCATGGGAGCAGTTACTGCCAAGAAGAGGCATTTAAGCCTGCCACTATAGATCTGGATAGCTGCAAAAGAGCTAAGAAATTCTGTAGATACTGTAGTCATGTTAAGGCTTATACACTTCACACCGGCCAAAGAGACAAGAGTTTATCAAATCCTCACCACCACAAGTCAGCACAACATGCTCTTGCAGAAAAAAAAACATTTGTAAAGAACACAAGACCCTGAGGACACTACCATTTAATTATTTAAGGAACATGCTTGGGAGCAGGACACAGTCTAGCTAAATCATGGATGGAGGGGCTACACAGCTGCAAATAGATGGAGGGAAACATAAGGGAGGCTCTAGAGGGGTTTAAATTGGCTGTCAGCAGTGCCCTTGGCCCAATACCTCTGACTGGGAATGACACCCAGCCTCTCTATTTAAATCTTAA